AATAAAATAAACTTTTTCTCGTGTGCAGGTGATGTTTTTGGCCCTACCTTCCCAACTGTACCTGTAAACACTACAACATTGCTCCGGAAACCTTGTGACGGTGGGGAACAGAACATGTTTAATTTTGCTGCTAACTTATATACCCTTCTGTATCTGCATCAGACTGGACAGCAAAAACCAGAAGTGGAGAGGAGAGCCATTCATTACTTAAATATTGGTCTGTGCTAATCTTCTGTTATATAATGAAATTATAAATAACACTTGAAGGTTTTGTAAGTAAAGATATTAGTTAAAAAAAAATACTAACCCTAGCTTTGGTTATTATAATTAGTAATGTTGATTCACCATTGATTTTGTTTAGAAAATATTCACTATATAATGATGAAAAATTTAATAAGAAGAAGTGGAGAGGAGAGCCATTCATTACTTAAATATTGGTCTGTGCTAATCTTCTGTTATATAATGAAATTATAAATAACACTTGAAGGTTTTGTAAGTAAAGATATTAGTTAAAAAAAAATACTAACCCTAGCTTTGGTTATTATAATTAGTAATGTTGATTCACCATTGATTTTGTTTAGAAAATATTCACTGTATAATGATGAAAAATTTAATAAGAAAACATTTATTGCGAGTCCACTGGAACTTGAATTCTAAAGAATTTAATTTCATTAAATATTTTTTATTTGTTATTTTTACATTATTTGATTTGAAACCACCTAAGCCTATAATAAATTCCAGATTACAAGATTTGAATCTGTTGGGTAATTAAATTCTATACTGAATATGTATAATTACTGAGGCATGAATTGAATGGAATGTAATATTCTTCTAAATATTTCACAAGAGAACTCAAGTAAAAACTTATAAACAGATTCAATCACCATTTAACAGTTTTTCTTTTTAGTCGTGAATCAAATCATGTGGTAATAATAATAAATGAAATGTTTAGGTGAGTCAATAACACTTGGTATCAAAGAGCTAACTCATTCTCTAATACAACCTCATACTGCTTGAGATAATTCACAGTAATTGCAGAGTTTTATTTTGTTAGTATTTTAGATATTGTATAGTTGAAATTCTTGATGGACTTTTCCTGCCTTGTTTCTTGAGTGGGAAAATGTTTTTTACTGTATGCTAAAGAAGGTCTCATCAAAGAGATCAAAATGTTGTTCCACTCAAGAAACAAGACGGGAGCAATTCAAAACAAATTCTGGTCTTACATTTAACCAAGTTATATTTTTACTGAAGTAACAAATGTGTTACGTATTTCTTCTGTCATATAACTTATGATATAGAAACTGAATTCTTATACAGTTCTAACTTAACATCAGGTTATCAGCTTCAACTTAGCTACCAAAATGAAGATGGATCGTTCAGAATGTTCCGGTGGAATGATAAACCCAGTGTTTGGTAAGTTTTATACATATCCTGTTGCCATAGAAACTTGTAATGAGAGACAAAAAAATACATCCTGTTGTCATAGAAACTTGTATTGAAAGACAGTAGAATCTAGCATGCTTCAGGTAGTGTGAATTTTTTGAAAATGCCTTATTAGCTACAGTTGGTGGTAAACTCTTCAATGCATATAGTAGAACTCTCAACTGGCACAGAGAAGTACTGGGTAATGTGGATCTTCTGAATGCCACATTGCCGAAAGTGACAAGATTGTCTAATTTATTAAAAGTGCAAATAAAAACTATAAGGTTAATTCAAAAGGTCATAACAGGCATTGGTTTGATAGTATAGTATTTAATATAGTCATGTATTTTCTATTATAATACATAAAACTAAACCTGGAAATCCATTGTACATGGAATAGTTGAAAATTATTAAGTCATTTATCTAACTTTCTACACAAAAATGGAATTTTTGCTTTGCCAGAATCAACATTATACACTTGTTAGTTATTAACAGTATATGTATCTAATTGGACAAATGGAAGTCTTGGGCAATATAACATTCATTTGAGGCATTATGGGAAATGTTCGTTAGTTTTGTGTAGCTTTTTAGAATCATTAACTATTGTTTAGATAAATGTAAATGAGGAACATAAAAAACTTTTTGAAATTGTTTAGTCACTTCAGAATCTTTATGCGCATAGCTTTAATCATGCTTGCACTGCGTGTTTTGCCCGAATATAGTTTTGATAATGGAATGAAGTGTGATATGTAGACATACCATGCCTTTGCTATCCCTTAATTGTTTTAATATAGAAATTTTCATTTATTAAGGTGTATATGCAGGTGTCACATAACACACAATACATATGTCAATAAAATTGTTGTTTCTTTCATCCTAGCTACCTATTGTTCTGTGTCATTCATCTATGTTATCACTTTTGTCTTCCCATTGGAAAGGTTTCTGCATACTGTAAGTATAGACAATTGACCTTTTCCAATGGCAGGTCAGTCTGATGTCTAGAAGCTATAATCTATGATGAATGGATAGCACGTTATCCTGGGAAAGTGTGATGTAATAGCTTTAATATATAATGTGACTTTTTTGTTTGCTCTGGAACAAGCACTTATATACTGAACAACTTTTAGCTCTCCAGTAAAGGTGACTGTCCACCATACTGTGTTTGTGATAAAATAAAGATGGATTTTCACTGTGTTTCACATTTGTGTCCATAATCTCGTGCTTTCTCAAGTCAGAGAATTATTTGGATTATATGTCTTGCTCGAATCTCCTGTTATTCTGTGGACTCTTGGGGGAAATTACTTTACCTGAAAATACCACAGAGTAGGTAGGAAGGAAATGAAGTAATAAAATCAGGAAGTCTTAAATTTTTTCATGGGTTTCTGAAGGTTTACTTCAACAGTGCACCACATGTTTGGTTAATTAATTATAAAAACAAGAACAGTATTTTCAGAGATCATTATTTAACTTACAGATGTTGCTAAAGTATTTACATACTGTAGAAATTAGAAAAGTACATGCTTTTTATATTTTATTGTTTCATACTATGTCTTTTTTTTGGTATTTTAAAATGAATATTAAAAGATACCTTGCAACTCATTATATTTATTCATTAATCATCATGTGAAGTTTTAAAGACTTGAGAAACCATTGAATCAATATACTCAAATTCTTTTAAAGTTGAGTTTATCATTTTATTTCTTGTTTTGAGTCCTAAAGTTTCAACTAAATAGGCTTAAAAAGTTTATCTTGTTTTCGGTACAAAATGGAGAAAAATATCACATATCGGTTAGAAACAAAAACAAAAAATAAAGAGATTAATATTGAATAGAATAATCTTGTTCTTTTCTATTTGCCTTAAATAATTTTGAGACACTTGTAGAAAGAGACGTCTATTTTTATTGTTAATGTTAGTTGCTTATTCTAATTTTTAGGTTAACTGCCTTTTGTATTCAAGTTTTTCACAAAGCAGTTTTGGAAGAATGGAAAAATTTCCTTTTCATTGATCCAACAGTAATTTCCAAAGCTGTCAAGTGGTTGTTGAATTACCAATCACCAGATGGTGGGTTCTTTGAGACTGACCTTTTTCCTTACGACAGGAAAATGAATTTGACAGTAAGCAAACATTAAATATACATCCTAAAACTCAAATATAGAAAAAATAAAACAGATTTAATGAAAGATGTTTGTTTGTTTTTTTTG